AAACGCGTCGGCCAACTCATCACTAAATATATATATATATATACAGTATATAGTGTGTCTATTTTCTTGGAAGTTACATAAGTTTCCAGCTTTATACTGAAAACAATGAAAGACTCAGAATAGATCTAAAATGTCTTCTAAAAACCGAAGGAAAAGTCTATAAAAAGTACTGAAAACCTATAAAATACTTATTGAGATTTTCTTTTGTTGTAGAACAATTCTTGTTTTAAACAGCATAAGCACCTAATTCTAATTGCTTTAAACCTGAAATTGTCTTTCTCAAACTTAGTCTCATTATATTTTTCCAAATAGGCATTATACATCTTTTTCTAAATTAAAAGTGAATTTTAAAGAGTCCAATCTTATACTGTTTATCTTTGAATTTTCAAGTTAGGTTTTAACATTTACATTCAGTGTATATATAAAAAAAAAACAACAAATATGTACGTATTGTCATTTGTAGTTTTTTTTTTTTTGTTGTCGCATTCTTTTAAGTTATCTGCTGAAAATAATTCAACGTCCAGCCAAGGTAACGATAATAAATTATTTATTTCCTCGTTCAGTGTTTTTCTAAAACAGAAATTTTTGTTTTATATTGTAGTTATTTGCAAATAGCCTTGACTGTATTTTTTATATCACTTTTATGATTTTCTGTTTATTAAACGTTTTTAATGTAATATAAAATATATTAATAAAAGCTTTCTATTTCCTCATCTGGTCTTTTTCTTCTTCATGCGTTTAAACTAAACTGCAGTGTTGGAATGCAGCTTCACGCATGCGTAGTTTCAAGTGTCTTTGTTCGTTTGACGCCATTGAAGAAGTAGGAGACTAAGGCCGGTATTTAGCGGAGAAATATTCAGATTTTTGAAATCACGAAGCCTTAAATTAAGATAAACAACTATATAAAACGTTTATTACATGATAGCAGAATATTTTACAGCTACAGTTTTGAGGGTAAGGCATAAGTATCGTACATAATTTGAAAGTTCAATGTTTACAAATGATTTCGTTTAGAACTTTTCATGTTAGTGTTAGTCGTTACTAATATTAATACTAGCTACTGTTATTTAAAATTTTAAAGTTAAATTCGAAATAATACGGCATTATTGCTCGTGTACTGCTTCTAAGTTCTGCTCTAGTTCTATGACAACCTTGAGAAAAGCTAATGTTAGTTTATATAATACTCATAGCCATAGTACTTAATTAAGCTAATTATTAATGATAATATGCCATTCATGCTTGGAAGAAAAATAGGTTTAGTTCCTTCCTATATTTTATCATTTTATGTATTATATTTAGGTATAGTGGAATTGTTTGTGCTGTGAAAGTAAAACTAAAGTATAATTGAATTAATGCAATATAATTAAGATTAACCTTAAATTAGTTGTAACAGTAACACTCTTCTGTACCTTGTATTTTTTGTAAGTTTTTAATGTTAACGATAAGTTAATAACATTCAATAACTGAATAAGAGTGAGAGTAACCTGTTTTCTTTATCAGTTTATGACTAACTCATTAAGTTTGACTTTGAGAGCATCCAGCTTTATCACTATCAATTTGCTCTTAGTCTTACATCGAAGTTAATGTTAATTAGCCTTCAATTTTATATTTATATGTACATGTATTAGTTAGCTTATAATAATAGTGGTAATAGTAATACTGTTAAGTGTTATTCCAGTAGTAACACAACTAATTATGTATATTTATATATGTTTGGCTTTCATTCTAGCCTATACAGTAGTACTGTAGTTATAATTTACTGACTGATTGAATAATCCTATTTATAGTCAATAGAATGTAGAAACTAACCTTTGTTTTCAAAATTCTGTAATCTAATGTAGTCTTACAATAAACACAGTTGTACAATGAATTAATTTTTACCATATGGAGTTGGTGGATTATACCAACCTTTTATTTTTAACCACAAACTAATTGTCAGTTTCTTCATTATATGGTAGATGTACCTTAGTAAATTTGGTAAGATTTAAGTAAACATTACAAGGCTTTTGTATACAAAAAATCTGGTTTTTTAGTTAAGTAGTTTTACAAAAGATTATATATAAATATATATCAAATGTTTTTTCTCGGTAAAATTATATTTTCTCTATATTAACTGTATGGATTTGTTTTATTTGACCAATTTTGTAACCACCACAAAAAAGTGAAATATCTAAATTACCCTTTTTTCTTTCTAGAATGACTGCAGATTGTAACAGAATGCTATAATTGTCTATTCTAGCATAAGGCTTATAATAATGTACATGTCTCTACTTAATTTTATTATTTCCCCGACCTTTGAACTGTGTCTAACTAATACTAGTAATAATCCTGCCATACAAGTTGTAAATCACTTGTTGAACATGTATTGACTGATGTAATTCGCGAGCATACCCCGTGGAGAATTTTTATCATTATCTTATCTAACCTAGTAAGTTAATAATTTTTACATTTTAGTTTTTTCAACAATAAGGTAAAAATGTGCATGGAAAACAAATATGGCGCTATCTTTTTTTGCCTTCTTTTTTTTATGTTGGTTGCTAATGAAATGCAAGTTTTTTTTGTGATGATGGCATTAAAACACAAAATTTTGTTTAAGTAAAATATTTAAGAGCATAGAATAATAACATGCACAAAGTGAAAAATGCCCTATAACTATTATAATTTAACTGGCTTTCTAACTAAGACAAGAGAAGCTTAAAATAATTCCCATAGTCACTTGTTCCAAACATTGCAAGGTAAGCTTTGAAATAGAAGATGAAATAGACAGTACTTTGTACTGAAAACAATGTAACAGTATACATAATTCAGTAGATTAAAACTTTGCCTTTCTTTTGGTTATTAATGATAAACATCGGAAAGAATTATTGGCAATTTGTGAAAGAAAATGTCATTAAATAAAATAACATTATTACCATACCAAAGTTAGCAAATCATTTTTTATTTTTGATTGGGTTTCATATATAAAAAAAATTAATTCATTTGGGTACTTGTCCCTATAAATCACCAGTTTGAATACAGTAGTGTTATTTGAACTTGCAACTTGAGTACAAGTTTAAATGATTTTTAGCGAATCACAGGTTTTCAATTCCAGTTATTGTATGATGTAATTTCCTGTATCTCAGTTTAAGAAACAATCAACTATTGTCCTAAACACATAATACAGGTTTTTCTCTTGTTTTCAACTGTATAAGATAGTACTGCTTCTAGCTCAGCAGACATTGAAAAAAAATAAAAGCTTAGCTTGGCAATATATTCTATAACATGTACTTTAGCCACATGTATACTTCTATGACCTTGATTTTTTGAAAGCTTGTGAAAGACTTGTTTTATCATTTTATACTTTATCTTAATTATAAAGTTGCAGTATGGTAGGAAATATTTTTCATGGACAAGGTGAAGTAATCTTGGTTATACAATTTAGCACTTTACCACATCATGTTTTATTTTACCGTATCTGCGAAATATCAGTTATACTCAAGTTGCAAGGTCAAGTTAGCACTACTGTATTCAAACTAGTGACTTCTAGGAGGCTACAAATGCAGCATTATGTTCAGAGAAAAGCCATGAAATATACGAACTCTGGAGCATGCTTGAATTAACTACCAAAAAAAATTTAGTTTTTAAAAATATTGATATACAAAATTTAGTTAGTAATACTTATCTGAATTACAACTCTGGAGAAATTTTTTTATTGTATGGAAGAATGACAACAAGAGAATTTCTGCAGTTTTTAACTCTTTCATCATGGGTTAATTTATCAAGCTTAGTAACTAAGCTGTATTTGGCACTAAAATAATATGAATTTTCAAGTAGACTAAAGACACAACCTACCTCCTTGAAATCTGGGTTCGAAAGAACAAGATGGCATCCTAACACATGAAAATGCTGAGAAAGCCACTAGGAGACATTCTGAGCTTTCAAATGGTTAATCACATGTCATATATTGAAGTAAGTGTATATAAGGGACCATTTCCAAAAGTGGAAAGAGGCAGGGTGGCACAGTGTTCGATTCATTATATGAGTGATATCTCAGCAAATAGAAAAAATATGAGGTCCTTATTTTATATTCTAGTTTGTCAATATTGGTTACATCTAATTTGAACCAGTGTGACATTCAACATACCACGTAATACACAAAAATTGATGTTTAACTGTGTTTTTTTTTTAATATTTACTTTTAAAGTAAATTAAATAATGTATAATACTAAAATTTGAATTATAATCTACTTTTTGATACCGAACTTATTGACATAAATTCATGAAATAGTAGTTAAATAATATTTTAAATTGAGTCAACAAATGCGATGACATGAGCTTTGACGTGTCTCGAGGGGGTTAATTCAAACATGTAATTTAGCTCTAGAGGCAGGGTGCACCCATCTGGCCACAAAATCAACTACTCTAAAGATTAGTAATTTGGAAAAATAACTGTAAAATTTAATAAATGAAATTTGATTCATGTTTTAGTGCTGATGATGGAATTTGATGAAATTCCATAGTGTTCATAATTAGATATTTTTTGGTATTGCTGTGATTTTAACATTTATTATAAAACTATTTTCCACCTGATGAATCAGTTCTTAACCCCTTTGCTGCAGGCAGGTTAGAGTTATCTTCAAAATTTTATTAAGTAACGTATGTTAATAGAAATGATATCAAAATGTAGTTTATAATTCAAATGTTAATATAATTTAAGAGGAAATATGAAGGAAGAATATTAAGTATCAATTTTTTTTGTCACATAGCACCTTCTATTGTCTTATTGCCCAGTTTATAGTTTATTACACCTACCATACAATGTGTACAGTGGTTGATGAATTAGAAACTTGAATTTGGGATATAGACAAGCTAAAATATAATATAAAAATCTCCCTCCTCCTTTGCTGAGATGTCAGTATATTTAGTCAATCAAGTGGAATGGTTCCTCCAACTCTATTTTTTTAAACTTCTTGTCTAGTCCCACCTAACTCTTTTGACTAAGTGTTTACTACCAAGAGAAAGTGCAGTTTCCTGTGTATGTAAACCTGCAGTTGTTTGTAAATAGCTTGAAGGACAAAGTAATAATTTTGCTGAAACTTGAATTGTGGTGACTAAGTTGTTGTTCTGACAGGTGTGAGATTTTTTATAGCGATGTATAGATAACATATAAAGTATAGGGGTTTTGTGCACACTAATATAGCAAGTTGATAATTAGATTGTTTTTTAAATGTATATTTGAAGCTTACAAAAACAAATCTCTCTTCACCCTCCATTTGGAAGAGGGAATGAGGCTAACAGCAAGGCTTGGCTTGCAAGATGCACGAGCACAAAATCTCATAACACTGCAAGTACTAGAAATCTTTGTTTTTTGAAGTATTTATTATTTAGTCTTCTATGTTTTATAAAAACAATAAGTAAAATTTAAGCATTTGTGAATATTTTTATATATAGTATTTATTGGTTGGTGAATAAGTATGCTGAAAAGGAAATATTTTATAATCATGAGCATAAATATTATCTTTGTATGTCTATACGGAATACTGATAAATTGCAAACATCCCAGAAGGATGACCAGTACTCAAACACTTGCAGTGTTTATTGGATCGGCTCCATATAATAAATGTGTTCACAGATTCAGAATGCAATCTTATTACTCTGGGGGAATTCTCATTGTAAATACTGGAGGATACATAAACTGATATATTCCTCATGGTGTTCTTGAAGCAGGGGTCAAGACAGCATTTTCTTTTTTGCATGTGCTTTGTTGCTCTAGAGAGTATTGTATTATGGGGCTGCATAAACAGTCTAATGACACAAGCAGCGAGTTGTTGCTTTATTTTCAGCTGATTTCTACTTCAGTCATTAACAGTAAAATATGTAAAAAAAATACATGTGAAATGTTTAGCAGTTGAAACTCAAAAGAAGTACCTTAAAATTTTATGACTAATAATAAAGTAGAAAGAGCACAGCTGCTC